GAAACAAGCTTGTTCCCTAACTAGAACTAATAAATAAATTATAAAAAAAAGAATATATTCAAGGGCTGGAGAGATGGCTCAGCAGTTAAGAGCACACACTGCTCTTGCAGAGGAATTAGGGTCCCACATCCATGTCAGGAGGGTCCCAACTGTCCACAGCCTCTAGCTCAAGGATGCCCTCTTCTATCCTAGTGGTTACCTGCACTCTTGTGCATATACACAGAGACACATAAAGTAAAAACAAATCTTAAAGAAGAACAACAATAATTATATCTATAAAAGTATTAAATAGCTCTCTCTCTCTCTCTCTCTCTCTCTCTCTCTCTCTCTCTCTCTCTCTCTCTTTCTCTCTCTGTCTCTTCTCCAGCCAAGCAAGATGCCCGAGGGAAAGAAGGCCAAGGGGAAGAAGGTGGCCCGGCCCATGCTGTCGTGAAGAAACAAGAGGCCAAAAAGGTGGTGAATCCTTTGTTTAAGAAAAGGCCTAGGAACTTCGGCATTGGGCAGCACATCCAGCCCCAAAAGGATCTCAAATGGCCCCGTTACATTCGGCTGCAGCGGCAAAGGTCCACCCTCTACAAGCAGCTCAAAGTACCTCCTGCCATTAACCAGTTCACCCAGGCCCTGGACAAACAGCTACCCAGCTGCTCAAGCTTGCCCACAAGTACAGGCCAGAGACAAAGCAGGAGAAGAAGCAAAGGGTTCTGGGCCCGTTCTGGGAAGAAGGCTGATGGCAGAGGGGATGTCCCAACTAAAAGGCCACCTGTCCTTCGAGCAGGAGTCAATACAGTCACCACCATGGTGGACAACAACAAGGTTCAGCTGTCAGTGATTACCCACGAAGTAGAGCCCATTGAGCTGGTGGTCTTCCTGCATGCCCTGGGTCGGAAGATGGGGGTCCCCTACTGCATCATGAAGGGAAAAACCAGGCTGGGACAGCTGGTCCACAGGAAGACTCGTACCACCGTTGCCTTCACACAGGTTGACTCAGAAGACAAGGGTGCTCTGGCTAAGCTGGTGGAAGCTATTAGGACCAATTACAATGACAGACATGACGAATGAGCTCCGCTGCCAGTGGGGAGGCAATGTCCTGGGTCCTTAGGAATCTGTGGCTCCAACTGCCAAGCTGGAAAAGGCAAAGGCCAGAGAACTCCCCACTAAACTGGGTTAAATGTACACTCACTGCTAAGTTTTTTGGACATAAATACAAACTTATCTTCCATCTAAAAAAGAAATGTATTTACCTCAGAAGTTCATTTTAAGGTAAAATTAAATCTTTCCTACAGCTATGGTAACTTTTCAAGTACTTCATTAGATCTGTTTGTAATTATTATAAGGAGAAAATTTGTTTACTTTGTACTCGTTTTGATGGATGAGAACATAAAGTTCAACTCAATTAGTCTTTCTCTACCAGTACCACACATCCAGGAAGGGCACTGACCGTGAAAGGACGGCAGTAGAAGGAATCCTTCTTCACTTCCAGGCCTGTGAGGAGGTTTGTGGTCTGCTTTTCATACTCTAGAATGATGTCGAGTGTCACAGTCTCGTTCAGGTGGTGGAGGTTGACACAGGCCTTTTCAGGAACTCCTGCGTAGAGCTCTGATGGGACCAGCACCACGTATTGTCTGTGGAGAAAAAGATCAACCATGAAGGATTAAAAAGATGTCATTACTGTGGTTTTTTTTCATAGTGTATTTCATATTGTCATCAGACGTAGGTTTCAGCAAGATTGTGTCCTCCAGAGATCACCATAAAACCCAAGAGAAAGTACTGGTGTGGTTCTCTAGTGTTGGGAAATATTCACCCACAGAATATGAGAAACTTTGGGAAATCAATTTAAGTTATTGATGTGTGGCAATTTCCTCCAAATTGAAACATTCCTTCATAGAGGGAAGAAGGAGGCAGGTGAGACTCAAAAAACAGATCTGGAGAGTTCTGGATGGAGAGCTAAGGCTAACAGGATTGATGAGGTCTCTCCAGGGTTACAGAAGCAGTAAACGATGGCTGGAGAGAAGAGAGGAGACAGAGTTGTCTCTACGAGACTCCTGGACCAGCCAAGTTTCCTGGAGGAGGCTCTCCTATCAGCAGAACTACCTGAAAGTGAGGCAAAGAACTCCAGGGGTGTGGCTTTCATGAATCAGCACCCAGACAGAAGTGAGACTTTTGGTTACGAAGTTGTCTTTGAAACTTCCATGTTCCTGTAAGCGATTCCTGACTCATATTCCTGTAGGTAACCCCAATAAATGCATTGGTTCGCCAAGGTGGACTATTTTGGGGTATTGTTGGTTTCCTATCTGGGGTGGGTAGATGTTTGTGCCAGGTCTCCCCTGATATACAGACACACACGAACACGCGCACACACACACACACACACACACACACACACACACACACACACACACACACCATGTGATGTGACGGCTATTATATTTTTTGGTTAGAAATTCTAAATTTCCAAACCATGAACTAATCAGTGGTTTATCACTGGAAGCCTTGAAAACCCAGCCACATGTGGCCTCAGGTTCCATACGAGTACCACAAATCTCTCACCCAGGAAACACTAGAAACTAACACGCAATACATGGGGAGAAGCTGCGTGGCTTTTCAATCCAGTTTAAGAAGCAACCTCAGCTCCTTCCTTCCTTTCTCTGTCTGGTTGTGTAAGGCAAGCCAAGCTAGGTTAGTCAGCAGACATTACGAGACACTGTCAAGAGAACACGCCTCTCCTGGCACATCCTTGCTGTTCACTGCCAGGCACCCAAGGATGCAGTCCTCTGCCGGGTTGTATGTTTTACACTGCTTCTCACTCCTGGGTGTCCATCTGTCCTGGAAATTTTTATTTCTTCATTAACCTATTACTTCCTCCCCCTCCCCTGAGACAGGGTTTCTCTGGGTAGCTTTGGAGCCTATCCTGCACTCGCTCTGGAGACCACGTTGGCCTTGAACTCACAGGGATCTCACCTGCTTCTGCCTCCTGACTACTGGGATTAAAGGGGTGTGCCACCAATGCCAGGAAAAACCTATTACTGTCACAGATCCTTTCTGCTCCCCCTGGATGGTGAGGCCTTCCATAGGGTGTCATCAGAGTCTATTGTGTCCTTTGGGATAGGGCCTAGGCCCACCCCCATGTGTCTTGGCTCAGGGATTATTCCTGAGGAAAAACCTATTACTTTTAAAAGAACTTGCCAAGCCTGACAAAGATCCTTTCCCTATATCGGGTGCTATGAAGTCTAAGGCTTTTTTTGTGGGTGTTCTCTGAGATCTCTGCGATGGCTCTATTTGGGGGCTATCTTTCTTCTTTCCTTCCTTTCTTCACTTTTTCTTTCTTTCTTTCCTTCTTTTTTTCTTGTTTTATGTATCATATTTCTTTTTCCTTATTGTGTGCTATTTCAGGAAGGGCCTGAATTTTGTTAGCATGTTTTCTAAAATCTACTAGCAGCCCCTGTTTTCTGAAGGACTCAGTGAAGAGACTCATAAAGTCTTTCACCCATTTTTCTTGGGTGCCCCTCAACTTAGGGAAAAAGACACACCGAGTTACTTCCCAACACCAGGACATGGCAGGGCATTTATGAATGGATAAACCAGTGGTTCGCAACCTGTAGGTCTTGACCCCCCCACTACCCCCAGGGGTTGAATGCCTTTCACAGGGGTCACATGTCAGATATCCTGTATATCAAATATTTACATTACAATTCATAACAGTAACAAAATTACAGTTGTGAAGTAGCAATGAAAATAATGAGGGGCTGTATTAAAGGGTGGAAGCATTAGGAAAGTTGAGAAGCACTGCGGTAAACAGTCTTTCCCCACCCCGCTTTTTGGTAGGAATTCTATACTCTTATCTGGTGCTGTTTGACAAGATTACTGCCCCATATATCTCAGAGGTCTCTAGACCTGGAGTAGATCTTCTCCAGGAGTCATAACAACTCACTAGCCCTTCCGCCCACGTTCTCTGACAACAGATAACTGCAATAGGAAAACAGGAAATAGATAACACAGTAGGAAGGGATTTTCTGAAATTAGAATTGCTTACGGTTTTGCAGTAGCCGTGGCATCTCTGGGAAGAAGCAGAAACAGTAAAAGCCAGGCCAGTGTGGTCTGCTGGTTTCCCCTCATGGTGGAGAGGGCCAGGGAAGAATAACGGGGCCGACCTCTCGGCTCCTTGAACCCTGCTCTCTGTCGAGAGCCACTGGTTTTTATTTTACCTGATGGGCAGTGAGAGTAAACTGCCAACCATTTATTTTTGTAACATATTAACTACTTCACTATTTAAAAATCAATTCCAGATAATCTCCAGGACCATCTCCATTCTTTTATTGACTTTCTGCAGTTACCCAAATGGTTGAAAAAAAAAATGGTGCCTAGAGGCTGCCGGTAACTTAGCACGTTAAACAGTTTTTAAAGAAAAATAAATCACATGGTTTGATGAAATCAATCAATATGCTTGACATTTTTTAAAAAGGACAATAAATGCAAATATATAACATCTCCTCTTGGTAGTTCAGGGGGCATTGCCTTCATTTAATGATATAAGTGAAATTTACCTCAGAATGTTAGATAAAGTAAGTTTGGAGGTATGTGCTTCTGTGTCTTTTTTTGTTTGTTTGTTTTGAAAAATTGAAAAAAAAATAAAGCCAAGTTAGACTTTGGTAGAATCATGACTTTGGTCTGTCGTTGCCTCCTTTTCTGGGGTGAGTAGACGTTTGTGTCAGGCTTCCCCTGGGAAAGTGTGACAAGAGGTACATTTAGCCCCTGATACACATAAACCACATCTGTTAATAACCTAGATTGCCATTCAGTACTTGTTGCTAAATTAGGTTTTCTTTTAATGAACTCCTGTGTTTACGATAATTCTTGAACGTCTCGGTTCTAGACTAAAAAATCAGGCTGGAGAGCTTCAATTTTCTCCCATGCTGTCTCGTTTATGGCTGTGCATTGTCAGCAGGAAGTAGGTAGCAATTGGAAAAGGCAAAAGATAGTAATTTTAAACAAAAATGGTCATTTATACATGAGTGTAGAAAATTCCAGAATGAGCCAGAAGAACTAATTTCTAATGTCATTATTTTCTCATACTAGAAGTAAGTTTGAGTGCAATAGGTGTTTGAGGCTTGAGATGAGCTGAAGATTCCTTGATTATAAGAGTTTACACAAATATTGATTTTTTTTTTTTTTTTTTTTTTTTTTTTTGGTTTTTTCGAGACAGGGTTTCTCTGTGTAGCTTTGGAGCCTATCCTGGCACTTGCTCTGGAGACCAGGCTGGTCTTGAACTCACAGAGATCTGCCTGCCTCTGCCCTCTGCCCTCTCAAGTTCTGGGATTAAAGGCATGTGCCACCAACGCCTGGCAAATATTGATGTTTTAAATTGTCTTTTTCACAAGAAACTCAAAGGAATGCCTTCACTCCAGGGCACATCTAAAATACACGTGATGCCGGGAAGAATACTAAATAACATACTAAAATAACAGTCATGCTTAGGGTCAACTGTAGGTCAGTGATGACTGAAATAATCATAAGATTATTGATCAGACACAATTTCAAGGATTCCAGAAATGATGGTGAAATAGAGTGAGGCCAAAGTTGAATCTGAATGGCAGATTTTTTTTTTGCCAGATGTCAAACATAAACCGTGAGGAGCCCAGGAGATGGCTCAGCAGGGTCAAGGCACTTGTGCCCAAGCCTGGCAACCTGAGTTTGAGCCTCAGGACTCACACAGTAAGAAAGATAAGTAATCTGTGACTCTATGCTCTGACCTCTGCATGTGGACTATGGCACTTGCCCAACCCCACAAAATAAACAATGTTATCAGTATGTAAAATGATAAACCTGTGGTATTCTAACAACTATTTCACATTCATCAAGATGAACAAATTCACATTCTATTAACCACAAAGCTTTAACAGCAAGACAGCAAGACAAAAAGATGCTGTTGTGAAAAAATTATGGCTGAATTATACCGTTAAATACTTACATTAACAAGGGTTTATGAAACATTTTTTTACCAGTATTGATTCATTGTCCTCTTTGCATTCCAAGATTGGAGTGTTAGAATCTATTTTACAGAG